GTTCCTCGGGTCCATATCCTTCCAAGTCTACGAGGTATTCCAGCTGACCACCACGGCGCCGGGACTGCAGAATTTCCTTCACCTTGTAGACTGACCCCTCATCCAGGATCAAGGGAAGAGGGGGTTCCTCCGTCTGGCCAGGCTCTGTGGGGAGAGAGACAGGTTCACGGTGAGGTTTAAGCAGAGAAACGTGGAACGTGGGATGAATTCTATAATGTGAGGGGAGTTGGAGTTTGTAGGTGACCGGGTTTACTTGTTCCAGGATGGTGAAGGGACCAACAAATCTGGGACTGAGCTTTCTACAGGGCAGGCGCAGTCTGATGTCCCGAGTTGACAGCCATACCTTCTGACCTGGTTGATAGGTAGGTGTTTCAGCTCTTCGAAGGTCCGCGGCCGTCTTCTGCCTGTGCACTGCCCGTTGGAAATGGTGGTGAGCAGCGTCCCAGACCCTCTCACGTCCCTTGCGACAGAGACTTGGGTTTCCCTCGGAGTAAGTTGGTGAGGGGGTTGGTGATCCTGCTGTAGCCAAGAATGAAGCAACGGTAAAAATTGGCAAATCCCAGGAATCGTTGGAGCTCTTTAATAGTGGTGGGTTCTGGCCAGGAGGTTATAGCTTCCACCTTCCCCTCGTCCATCTGGATACCAGTATGGTCAATGTTATACCCCAGGAATTGTACCGTGGGTTGGTGGAAGGTGCACTTTTCAGCCTTGAGGAATAGGTGATGTTCTCTCAGGCGTTGGAGGACCTCCACAATGTGCTGGCGATGTTCGGCCTATCTCCGGGAGTAGATGAGGATGTCATCTATGTAGACAACTATGAATCGATGGAGAAACTCCCGGAGCATGCATGAAGTCCTGGAATACGGAGGGGGCGTTGGCAAGTCCATAGGGCATGACCAGATACTCGTAGTGGCCAGTAGGGGTCACAAAGGCAGTCTTCCATTCATCCCCCTCACGTATCCGGATGAGGTTGTAGGCACTGCGGAGGTCCAACTTGGTGAAGATGGTAGCCCCACGGAGATGTTCAAGGGCATTTGGGACGAGGGGAAGAGGATATCAGAACTTGATGGTGATATTATTTAATGCTCGGTAATCTATACAGGGCCTCAAGCCTCCGTCCTTCTTGGCCACAAAGAAGAAGCTCGATGCAGCAGGGGAGTTAGATGGACGGATGGAACCTTGACCCAGCGCCTCCTTGATGTAGTCCTCCATGGCCTTCTGTTCAGGAAGCGACAGAGAATAGATTTTTCCCCGAGGCACTGGCTCACCCGGAATGAGATCTATGGCGCAGTCCCATGGCCGATGTGGTGGTAAGCAGGAGGCTTGTTTCGGCAAAAAACGTCGTTGAAGGGGGCATAGCAGGATGGAATGTCTATGGATTTCTTCTCGATGGGACTTTCAATGGAGGTTGAATTCACTGGAATGACCTCCGTGAGTTTCTTGGATGGTGATGGAGTCACGGGGAAGCAGTCTGGGAAGCAATCCTTTGTGTAACAAAAGTTTGAGTTCTTTTTGAAGATTCACTATCGTCACTATTCACTATTATCATAGTATGTTGTGCTTAGGATAAATTTAAAGATTTTTTTCTAACTATAATAGTTAGAATAGTATGTAATGTATATAATAGTTTGTAACAATGTTTTGTTTGAGTCTTAACTGAATCTGTGAAAATATTAAAATGTTATTGCAAGGATTACAATTGAACAATTGAACAAAAGTTATACAGTTGTCATTGCTTATTTTCAGTTAAATTATATATATATTTTTCTTGTATTTCGATATGTTACTGGAGAAAATACCATAAAATTACCATATATTTTACAGTAAAAACTGTAAAAGTACAGTACACATACTGTAAATACATTTACAGCAAGTTAAATGGTACTGTAAATATTTTTACTGTAAGTTTAATTTACAGTAAGTTACTGGCGAACTGCTGCCAGTAAGTTACTGTAATTTCTACAGGAAATTTTTAACAGTGTTGCGTTGCATTTCTATGATGATGCTGCGGTTGTTAATTATATAATTTTTGTTAAATTAACGTTTAAAAAGTTTCCTGTATATTAGTTTTTGGATGCTTATGAATAAATAAAGCTTGTAGTAGATGTGTCAGTAAATAAAGGTTCTATGACTGTAATGTGTTTGCACAATAGTCTGTCTGCGGTTTTTAGGCCGAACGTGTGCGAGCGGCTCATTTGACAACTGATGCCAGTGATAATATTGAGCTAGACTGATATCCGTGACACAATCTGTGATAACGGCAGCTTGCATGGGCATATACATATATATTCAGTGGCTGTTTCAGTCATTTGGTGCTTGTGGATTCATTGATTGGTGTCATTTAAGCAGTTACTGTTCATCTGAAGCACAGGTACTCAAGGGAAATTGGCGAATCTAAAAGTGGAAGATGAGAACACAAGATGAAAGAAAGCCTTCAGGGATGTTAGACAAGAATTCCGTTTATCTCTTGATGAGATTGATAATTCTCCTCAGTTGTCAGTGCTTTCTGAGGCGTTTTGGGAGACATTCTTACATTTATATTTTTACATTAATTTGTTTCCATTCTCATTCTTGCTCATATCTCACTACAGATAGGCTACTTGTGTGTTGACCGTTTTAACCGTTTCATTGCCAGATAGCTGTAGGAGGACACACAGATGCACTTTGGTTTGATATTTACAGTCCACTCTGTCATGACAGATCCGCTCAAATGAAGAGAAATTAGGTTTAGGAATCTCGTACAGGTTTCTACCTCTTTCTGTTTTTCTTTCATTCTGTATTTCACACACTTGCACACAAATATTACACATAGTAAATCAACAGACACAAAATATAACTTATGACTTGCCTTACTGTGGTGGCAGTACCATAGTAAAATGATGGTAATGGCATGGTACTGAATGGTTCATGTACTTTTGTAGTACATCAAAGAATACCACGGTACTACCATGGCATAACATGGATGAATATATTTCCATATATGTTTTTTTACTACTTGTTTGGAAAATTAACAGAATAATTCTCAATTTCTATATAAAATACGATAGCAGCTCATCTCTGAAATGGAATCATTTTAGTTGGTTGGTCCTCTGCTGATAGACATAGGAATACTTTCACTTTTCCGGTCCATTTTGGCGCATGTTTCTGGAGCTCTGCGGAATGACGCCACTTCCCATCATCCCGTCCTTGGGGAATGATGGACAGATAAGAAGGACCTCAATCACCCGAACAGGAAAAAAGCAATGGAGATAAGAAATGGGCAAAGAAAAGGAGAGAGAGGAAAACATTCTTCCTATTTTCCCTCTGCTCTATCTCCCCTTTTTATTTCCTTTATCTTTCACAGTTTTCGTTTGCCTCCGGTTTTCTCCTGTCGCTGAGATTTTCCTGTTTTTGCAGTTCCGTCTCCCATTTTTTCCCCAAGTGGAAATGGTGAAGGTGAACTCAGATTTGTTTGTTTGGATTTATTTTCCATCATCAGCAGAATCACAATCTGTTTTTCTAACAATTAAGTTGGTAGTAATTTTTATCAGGTGCTTTTATCCAAAATAACTACAGGTATAGCTTCTTTGGAGCAACCTTGGGTTAAGTTTCATGTATGCCATTTTGAGTTACCGGATCTTTATTAAAGGGTTAGTTCACCCAAAAATGAAAATTAGCCCATAGATTACTCACCCTCAAGCCATCCTAGGTGTATATGACTTTCTTCTTTCAGACGAATCCAGTCGGAGTTATATTAAAAATTGTCTTTGATCTTTCAAGCTGTTTAATGCCACTCAGCAGGTGTTGCATGCATCCGTCCAAAAGCAGTTAAATAAAATGCGCCCATCCATAAAAAAAATGGTCTCTCACGGCTCCGGGGGGTGAAAAAAAAGCCTTCTGTAGCGAATCGATGCGTATTTGTAAGAAAAATATCCATATTCAAAATGTAATAATCACTTGAATGTAGCTTGCGCTCACTGTTGTACACTGGAAGCAGTTCCGGACAGATGACGTGTGAGGTCAGCGCTGCGCATGACCTGAGTAATATATGGGCTAATTTTCATGTTTCGGTGAACTAACCCTTTAAGTGTGATATCAGTCCTGGGTTTGTTGATCTGTTGACTTTAAATGCCAATGTCTAAACCAGGGTTCTCAAATCTGTTAGCTCCGACTCTGATCAAACTCACCTAGCTGTAATTTTCTAGTAACTCTGAAGACCTTGATTAGCTTGTGTCTTTGATTAGGGCAGTGGCCATCCATAGCTGGTTTTGAGGAACCCTGGTCTAAACTTATGACCAAGATACTGCTGGTCTAATCTTATGGCCCATTTACTACTAATAATTGGTGTGTTGCATATTTTTTTCACAGCTAACTGGCCTGTCACTACTTCCCAACAGAGTATTAGATCATATAATCATGGTGTACAGATAAAAATGAATCGTCACAATGCATTGATGTGGAATTCTTTCTGGTTTTACACTGCAATCTGTGTTCTCAGAGCTGTGAATTAGAAAAGGACAAGATGTAGGTATAAATCCTTTCGAGTTGACTTGAAACAGCACAATATAATTTTCTTGCCCTTGTAAAGTTCGGAACAACTTCAAGCATTTCAGACCTCAAAGACTTACTTTAGACTTGCTTGTTTTCAGGGCTCTTTTAAAGGTGCACTGTTATGTACTTGCATACTTCATCTACACAAAGCTGCTGTCAGACGCTTGTGATGATGGATGTTTTATGCCCGTATTGAAGCAAGACCAACTCTACAGCTGCGGTGTTGCTTAGTGAAGAGTTTGTATACAGTGCGTCTCCAATCCATCTTCACCCCCAGAGCTATCAGTCTCAGTAATTAAAAGTTGACAAGGTTCACCTCATTTGACCACGCGATTCTAAATGATTTGTGGCAAAATGAAAGATATTGTCTTTACTCTCTTTCCTCACTGTTTGACTTTGAGAAATAATGCATAATGAATCGGATATGTTCCATTTGCACTCATAATGTGTTTTTTTTTTTTGCCCTGCAGGAGCCCCGGACGAGGAATTGAGGTGGATGCTGAAGTGGATGACTGTTTTGTGAGAAGGCAAGGAAGCGTTGAATCAAAAAAGCCTGTGCTGCCTCCCTTCCTTGTTTGTTGAGTTTGTTTAAAAGTCCCCAATTGAAGACGTAGCGTGGGCCACCATATCCTTCACTTGTGAGGGCCAGCGCAGGTATGTGGCCTCAGCAGGGGCCGCAATGCTTTATTAGCCCAAGGACTGTGGTGCTCCTTGGGCTTCTGACTGTCTGCATATCCCCTCACCTTTCTGAAGGATCCCCAGAGCCATTTAGGTCCTTCTTGCCTTCTGACTGGGGTCTAACGCATTTAGCCATCCATAACAAGACGGGGGATGTGTATGTTGGGGCGGTAAACTGGATCTACAAGCTTTCTAGCAACTTGACCAAGTTGAGGAGTCATATGACGGGTCCTGTAGTGGACAACGAGAAATGCTATCCACCTCCAGGTGTACAGTTATGCCCCCATGACCTTGCCCCAAATAGTAATGTGAACAAGCTGCTGCTAATAGACTATGCTCAAAACCGACTCATTGCTTGTGGAAGCACCTCGCAAGGCATCTGTCAGTTTCTGCGCCTGGATGACCTTTTCAAGCTTGGCGAGCCACACCACCGTAAGGAACACTACCTCTCCAGCGTCGGCGAGTCGGGAACCATGTCTGGGGTCATCATCTCTGAGGGTCATATCAGCAAGCTTTTCATTGGAACTCCCATTGATGGAAAATCAGAGTACTTCCCAACTCTTTCGAGCCGTAAGTTGATGGCCAATGAGGAGGATGCTGACATGTTCAGCTTTGTCCACCAGGATGAGTTTGTCTCCTCCCAGCTGAAGATCCCCTCGGATACACTGTCCAAATTCCCGACGTTCGACATCTACTACATATACAGCTTTAGCAGTGAACAGTTTGTCTACTACTTGACCTTGCAACTGGATACCCAACTTACTTCTCCTGATGCCAGTGGGGAACAGTTTTTCACCTCGAAGATCGTCCGACTTTGTATCGATGATCCCAGGTTCTACTCCTACGTAGAGTTCCCAATCGGATGCACCAAAGACGGCGTAGAGTATCGACTGATCCAGGATGCCTACTTGGCCAAACCCGGAAGGCATCTTGCAAACTCCTTGGGAGTGTCCGAGCAAGAGGACATATTGTTTACAGTCTTCTCCCAAGGTCAGAAGAACCGGGCCAAACCCCCAAAAGAGTCGGCGCTCTGTCTGTTCACGCTGACGAGAATAAAGGAGAAGATCAAGGAAAGGATTCAGTCGTGCTATAGAGGAGAGGGCAGGCTGTCTTTGCCCTGGCTGCTCAACAAGGAGCTACCGTGCATCAACTCGGTAAGTCCACTCTCTGATAGCAGGCCATTAAGACGCACTGCATGGCTACAATAATTGATTTGTTGGTTGGATGAATGGGTGTGCTTCAGTAATGTCCTCTGCCAGAGTTCATCTTCCATTATCTTGGTGCAAAGGGTGATTGTGATTAGATATAAGTGGAGAAGTTGTAGATCAGACTAGGGTTGTGAGGCTGGGAATGTTAAGGAGTGGCCTAGTAAAGTCCTCTAGATGACTAGAGTCTACTCATTGGGTTGGTGATTGCAAATTTAAGGATGGCCCTAATAGTAAGACTACTGTATAGTCATTGTTGAGAACCTGAAAACCTAGACTATTACCTTGTGTCTAACTGTGTCTAATAGTTTAACGTCATTAAATTGTTGTAGAATATAAATATCACAAGCAATCTTCCTGTCACCCACCTCCTGTTTCCTTCCTGCGTCCATTCTCTCTGGCTGTCTTTCTCCCAAGTGCTTCCATTATTCAGTCAGACAGGAACATCATTAGGGGAGTTGAGTAAATTTCATGAGTTGCTCTCTCGCTCATGCTATCTAATTCATTTAGTGAGGCTTGATCCCATCTTCTCTGCCATCAGAGTCCGCTGGGACCAGGCCTTGCTTTTCGTCCTCTCGTTCGCTCGCTCTTAATCTCTCTCTCTTCATTTGTCTCTGTTCATCTCACTCGATCTGTCTTTCTTGGGGCTTTCAGTGGCAAAGAATGGCTTTCATTTAACCAAGCACTCAGAGATAAAGATCCCCATTTTTATTTTTTTGACTCATATTCAAAGTCTTATCAGTAGAGCTCTAAGCGGGTGGAATAATAGGGAATAAAATACATTTTTGTGAAGCAAAACAGAGATATAGAGTGGCTGAATGTGTGATGTCTAAATACTTCAACACTAGAAATCATCCAAAGCTCACTATTTTTTGTTTCATAAAGTTCAAATATATAATAATGGGCTCTTCACATTGTGCTTACCACTGGCTTAGTGTCTTTTTAAATCCTTGCTTATGGCCATTTTTAATCCTGGTTATGCCTGGCCTTTACATAACTGAGCTCAAATTTCAGTCCTAAAATTCTGCAGTGTGAAACAATTAAGGAAGATCCTATAGATAGATGGTTGACTAGTCGTCCAACTAACTAGTCAATTAGTGATCCGGTGGCAATTACAGTGCTGCTTTTAATTGGAGGCTTATTTCACAAATAATCGTAGCAGTAACAATTCTTAATTTGTTGTATTAAAAACAACTCAACAAAACTTCTTCAACCTTGAGCGGTTGAATGCAGAACGAGTTTCACTCTGTGAGTCCAAATGCTCAGGTTTCATTGACGTGCATCAATCTGCATCCAGGATGCATATAGGGGTGTTATGCTAGTTATTTAGAGCCTTTGATATGACACTAAAAATGTCTATTTCAGTTTCAAAAAGCCCCTTAATTTTGTTTTGTTCAGAGGTTATGCTAGTTTTAAATAACTGTTAAAGAAAGTTTCTTATTTTTGCCATCTAAATAGAAATTAAAGTGTCTGCTTATCTTTGGCACAGTTCGTGGTGGAAAATGTAAATCATGTTTAAAAATATTGTTTCCAAACAAATTACCTTTTTATTTTATGAAAATCTTTATCAGATTCAAATGGGCTTAAGGTTTTTAAAACCACAACACAAACATATTGACATATTGTTTGGCTTTCATAATGGACATCAAAGGAATAATTCACTCAAAAATTAAAATTCTGTCATTTACTGACATGAAGATGGATGTCAAATGAGTTTGCAGTGACATAATGGTTTGTAAATGATTACACATTCTGGGTTTTGGATGAACTATTCCTTTTGATTATCCTTGATAAATTTGGTTGTTGTTGTTGTTGGCGTGCTGCTTGACGTCAGTGATTAAGCACACCGCTAATTAACCTCTTTAATGCTGTACGTCTGACAGAAGCGCCGCACCTGTAATGTGTTCTTACTCACAGGGACCGAAATGAGCCGTTAAATCTCATCAGAACAGAATGCTGTAAATCTGGTGCTGCTCAAATGATTCACGCTGATCAGATCAGGCAGCACCCGTTTAACGCTCAAAATCTAAACATAGTTTACAGTCACATGTCTCTCTCTGTCTCGCTCTCTGTCTGGAATGTGGTGTGTTTGGTTTCGCCTCTGCCCTGGGTAGACACATAAACAGCAGTCTGAAAATATCGCTCTCACACACACACACACACACACACACACACACACACACACTCACTCACACACACACATGCATGTCTATTGTTGTGGTGTTGTGTGTGTATTGGTGTCCCTCTGCAACCTGTTTAGTCCTGTTTAGTTTTCACCTCACTAGTAAAGTGTGAATGTGTGTTCGTGTGTGTGAGAGAATGTAATTACTTTAGCACACACACTTTTGAGTGAATGTAATGCTCATCTTGTCTGTGTGACCCATGAGGATTGAGAGAATACTGCATCAAATCAGCCGTCAATCGAGTGTGAAATAGCAGTGGGACTAGAGCTCTGATGACTAGAGCATAATAAGCGCTCATGACCTTATACTGCCTTCTGAGAGGCCTGCTTTGGGCCAAATTATCACATACACTACTATTCAAAAGTTTGATGTTTGTAAGATATGTGTTTTGTTTTTTTTTCAAAAGAAATTATTACTTTTATTCACCAAGGATGCATTAAATTGATAAAAAGTGACAGTAAAAGACATTTATAATGTTCTAAAAGATTTCTAACGCTGCTCTTTTTAACTTTCTATTCATTAAAAAAATCCTGAAAAATAAAATTTATCACAGTTTCCACAAAAATATATATTGGGCAATACAACCATTTTCAACATTGATAATGATCAGAAATGTTTCTTGAGCAGCAAATCAGCATATTAGAATGATTTCTGAATATCATGTGACACTGAAGACTGGAGTAATGATGCTGGAAATTCAGCTGATCTCCAGGAAGCCGCTGGGCTCCACCACCACGTTTGATTGGCTGGAGTCGGGCATGATGGAGTACTGCGGGATCACCTGACCACAAACACACATCACATGACCTCAGCAACATCAATACAGCCACAACATGGAATGTACTGTGTAGGGTACTTATTATTTTCCTCTAAACCACTAGACGGCAAAAAAACGTGGCGTGGCACTTTCCAAAACATTCGCTTTTCAAGATGCATGTGCAAATGTGGCTGATCTTTGATGCGATCACGCACAGCAGCACAAAGTTGATTCTGTGCTTACTTGATCTAATATTTTGTTTTTTTTTAAATGTTGTAGATTTAAGTAGCAAATGAGAATCGCTAAAATTAATGCATATATTTTGAGACAAAGGTCTTAACGTTTTTCAGTATTAGTTGTTTCTACTGTAAATCTATATTAAATTATTATGGGATCTCCTTCAATGCTTTCAGAATCTTTAATTTTTAAAATTATTTTGCTTCTGTATTTTAAAATATATTTTTATAATAACATATTTTAATGACATTTAATATTTATTGAACAAAAATTAATTAATTAATTTTTCAAAATAAGCAGAAAATAGTACAAACTTTGCTAACGTGATTGTTTTGAACAAGTATTAACTTAGACATATTAAAAAAAACTATTTTAGCTGAAGTATTTGTATCAATACTGTGTGCCTTTTGCAGCACTCGTGTGTGGGGTAAAATGCCCCCTTGCCACCTCATACATTTATAAGATTTTTAAACAAAATAAACGACTTGTATGATTTATTTTCAGACAAAATCGGTTTCTCCATTAATGTTCAATACAAAAGTATATATTTTTTCTGCAATTATACATTTTAGGTGCAGTGAAAAGCAAATGTTTTTCTTAAGGTGTGCCTTTAGCCACATTGTATCCTACTATATGTGACCCTTGACCACAAAACCAGTCATAAGGGTCAATTTTGTGAAATTGAGATTTATACACCATCTGAAAGCTGAATAAATAAGCTTTCCATTGATGTATGG